TCGAGTTGCAACCAGAGTCACGGAACGGATTAAATTCGTAACTCGAGGTACCACTGTACTTATTCAGAGCAAATATAAGAGTTCAAGTCATCTCATTCATTTCTAATACTTTTTATTAGAGTATAAACAATGGACTTAATGACCCCCTTTTTGATGAGTGGTTTAACACGCGACATTAAAGCAATGCTTTAATTCTTGACTGAACACATTTTATCAATCCTTGCAAGGTGGAACCCATTTTGTGTTAGCAGTCCATTTCTAGATAAACCATGATTTCAGAACCCAAGTATCTCTTATTAATACAATTGATAATGCATCCATACATGCTTTGCTTACCTAGTCCTGACATTAAAAAACATAAAGTTGTTTGCAAGATTAGTTGATGATAGAGTTCTTTGCATTTCAAATTATATATTGTATGCTCAATTCAGTTAACTCAGTGGTTACCAGAAACCTTAGAAGAGGCTTCTAGGTTTTGTAGCAAGTTGTTGATCCCCATTAAGAGGCATTGAACAAAATAGGATGATCTTAAGCCAAGGTCTTCATATTGTGTATTATAAGCATATTGCTATAAAATGGAAGATCATATCCATCACATATTTTCAATTGTGAAGAATAATCACAAATTCTCAATTCCCCAAGAATGTTCAGGCACGATTTTAGCAGCTGAGGTAAGAATAATAGAATTCATAGAATGAACACTGCAGTTCTTTGCCTTACTGTTTTGGGATTAACTCACAATAAATTAAATAGATTTATTAGCCAGTAATAATGTTATAAGATGATATTGCACATTCTTTTTTTATTTTAGTTTTATGTCTTTATAGGGCCAGGCGTAATCATATGTGTAATACCCAGAGATAAAACCAAACTTTATTCCTAGCCATACTTTTTTACATTTGGTTAACTATATTTTGGGGAGTGTTACACATAAAATATTCATTTTGTTCATTGTTTTTCAGAATCACCTGTAACTTCCTTGCAAGGAGTCGTAAATCCTTCATAAAATGTCTATCAGTGATAAAATAAGTCAACTAATGAACAGAATACCTGGAAGGCAGCGGTTTGGTATATACAGATTCCTTCCTTTCTTCTTTGTTCTTGGTGGTGCTATGGAATGGTTTATGATTAATGTTCGAATTGCTGATCAGACTTTTTGTAAGTATTATTAAGTTTAAAAAAAAAATCTTTTTCTATATATTTAAACAGACCTGATTTAATTATGCTTTTTAATTGTAAACCTTTTATAACAAGCTTAACTTTTCTGAATAATTACACTGAAAAATTTGAATTGCTGTTTGATATTCAGCTTTATTAAACAATGGAAGAACTTAAGGTAACCATTTAATGGGTAACCATCTTAAATATATATTTAATTAGAGATACTTGGCATCAAAGGTCTCAAATGCTCTAATAAGATCAGTAGAATGAAGTTATCTTAAAATCGCAAAGTAAAGGTTAAGTGCCATCTTAGAACCTGTTGGCAGGCAAGCAATTGAAGTTTTGAGGTGCCAATGAAGCCCAATTATCTCTCTCGCCATCTAGAAAAGTTACAAGTGGGGCAGTGACAGGGATGAACTGAGAAAGTTTTAAGGTTCCATAGCATCTTATTTTCTATTAAAAACTGGTAATTGCTTCCAGTAAGCAAGGAATCAATTTTTTCTCAATTAATTTCATTGGGAGACCACCAGGAGAGCTTTAAGCTAGACTGTGATTTCCAGAAGCAGGTAGTGACAAATCATGTTCATACTGTTCCTGAGAAAGCTACAAATCACCAAACTGGACAAACATGGCTTTACTTTTAACTTTTTAAAGCGTTGATAAAATATTCGGGTAATCTTCACTAAGCCAATCGCATTTTGGAGACAGACTGAAAATAACTAAAATGGCTTCAGATGGAGGTGCTAGCTTCAGACTGAGCATAATCTGACCATTCTACAAAACAGAAAACAAATTTCTAAAATCTTGCATTCTTTAGGACTGGACAAAATTAGTCCTTGGCCTAATTTTAAAACTTTTTAGTCTCTCCCTCTTTACTTATTTGAGTAAGAGAAGTGGATATTAGTTAAAAAGTATGTCAGAATGAGCATGTTGTTCTACCCTGCTGTGTGATTCTTGATAGAATAAGCTTGTCCATTATGATAATTTCCTCATTCTTTTAAGTTCCTGATCTTGCATGAATCAGCCCATTATCTTAAGCTTGAAACATTGCAAGTTAATTTTCTAATATTAAATATGACATATTTAAAATGTTCATAGAAATGATCACAAATGTTTTGCAGATGATGTTTATCGTAGAAAGCAGGCTGAGAAATATTACCAGAAGTTGGAAGAAAAATGAATTCAACACTGAATTATCTGTACATAATGGGTTCTAAACTTCTAAATGAAACTAAGTTTCAGAGTTTGCTTAAAATAAATTAGATTGACTGCACTTTGTTCAGTGAAATGTATTTTTGCTACTCTACCTTGCTTGAAGTATTAAAAAAAAACAGAATTACTGTATTTTGGTGTACTCAGACCTGATTATGTGCCATCAAGCTGGTACTGACCTTAAGTGACCGCATAGATTATCTCTAAGTGTATGTGTCCCAAACTTGGTCCTTCAGATCTTCCAGTGGTGCACTCACTGCTGCTGTAATTGAGGTACTCAGACCTACTCAGATATCAAATAACAGTAAGTTGTTGACTATTGGGTTTTAGAAATTATTGTTTTGTGATACATTTCATTATTGGTTTATTTATTCATTTTTATAAACATACATAATTACATTTTATATATTGCCTTTCCTTATTAAATTATATATTGCCTTGTCTTATTAAATTAAATTATTTTGCTCTGCTACTGGGCTGATTTGGGGATGTGTAAAAAGCAAAGGAGAAAAGGGGAACATTTGATCCTGATATTTGCAGTAGTTCATTCTCATAATCCAAACCGTTTTAGGGGAGAAAGTTGTTATAACACAAGAGAGAGTTGTTTTGCATACACCCCCCCCCACATATATTAAAAAAAAATCCCCTCACCCTTACGGGTGGTATGCGTCTTCCTCAGTCTCAGGTCCACTACCAGAGGACTGGGAGTTTGAGGGTTCTGTGCAGTATCTTAGCTGTTCCTAGCACTGCACTCTTCTGGACAGAGAGTTCTGATGATGTTCCTGGGATCTTTTGGAGCCACTCTCCCAGCTTAGGAGTCACAGCCCCAAGTGCTCCTACCACCATTGGGACTGCTTTGGCCTTTACGTTCCACATCC